TATCTGATCTTTTTGTGTAGTACAGTCTATTGGCTATGTTCCAGGTTTTTTCCAGCTTGAGAGGTTTTGAATTAGATCTCCAGTAAATTGTTGGCAAATTAAATGGCTGATAAAATAGCTAGTATTTACTGTGTGTGCAAAATTATTCATGCAGTGGCATGTGGTACCAGGAAACTTTTCCTTCTTCTCTTTTCTGCAAATATTTACTTTTTGCAGATTAATTTCTAAAGCCAAAAAACACAAACCAGTTGTAGGCAGCTGTTTTTCTTGTTACTCCCATGCCAGTAATTGTACATAAACTATTTTTTTAATAACTTCATTGATGCTTTTTTCTCCATCACTGTTTTCTAGAGGTTGTTGCCTTTCAAGATAATTTAATATGACATATTAATTTGAATTAGATGAGAATTTTGAAAGCCTGTCCTGTAATGGACTGAACCTCTGTTGCAACTGTAGGTATAGAGTTATTAAGAGGGGTCCATGATCAATGAAAATTATTAACTCTAATGGTGGAGCTTGGAGAATAAAAGCAAGCAAGCAACCATCAAAGAAAGAAAGAGAGAAAGTGTGAGACTGAGCAAGAGAAAGGGAGACATAGGTGCCGGAAAGTAGGGGTGGGACAGGCAATGTTGGAAACAGACAGAGAATGGAAAATGCTTCCCAGTGGCCAACCTAGAAGTGCGCAGTATTGCCCAGATGAGTGTCCTCCTGTTTCACTTCTAACATGGTAGCTTGATAGTTTTCATCAAGGTCTGCACAAAATCATCCTTGGATTTTTCTGCTATTAGTGCTGTTATTACTGATGGGACCAATAAAACAATAAAGTTTAAAAGAAACTGTAAATGTTAAGATGGAAAGTCAGCTGCAATGTGGTTGCATCCTCAGTATTTCTATGGCACCCAGATTGTATCAATTACCATTAGCTTGTGTGTGTGGATGCTGATGTTGTATGTTGTTATTTAGCTCCTAAAGAGTAGTGGTGATGTAGCACATTATGATGTCCCTCCAGATACTCCTTTAATATAAGACATTGTTCTGTGTTGTGGCTATAGGGATGGCATACTTAAACCTGGAATTATACCTCCTGGTCCAGGTACACATGCAGCCTGCATGCATGGTTCATGTGATGTGCAATCTATGTTATACAACCTGCTCCTTACTAAAAAATGCAGCTGCAGCAACAGCATCAAATCATTACTCAGTATAGCATCTGAACAACTGTATCAAAACAAATTAAAATGCTTTTGCCACATAATACATTTTTCATTGCATTTCTCCTTGTTGTGCTTTAATCCAGAAGGTAACTAAACAGTTGTGGGCCCACTTTCTACCACCACCCTTCCCCTGTGTCCCCTCCAACTTCTTGTGCCCCAGATTTCTCACTGGTGTGGCAATGGGAAGACCTGCAAATTCCTTCAGTTAGTGTCAACACCACTCAGTAAAATCTAAAACATCAGTGTGTCATCAACATTATTCTTATCCTCAATCTGTCACACAGTACTATACCAACTACGGCAAAAAATTAACTCTGTCCCCAACAAAACCAGAGCAATATCCACCCTTTATTCTGTATCATTTATGTCATGCCCAGGTTCCACTCTTCCCAAGGCATCCTTCCCTGTCTTTTGATACATACATAGAGATAACATTCCCTTAGTCTGTGGGTCATCCATCTGAAATGTCCATTGAGTAAAATTAGTCTGTATCTTCTGGCTTCTTCTGTCATAGTAGACCTTCAGAGCTGAAGGTGCATTGTATTGGATAATGTCCATCATAAGTCCATCCCTCATTCATTATCCAATACCATGCACCATCTCACCAGAGAGATGGTGCATGGTATTGGATAATGTTCATGATAAGTCCATCCCTCATTCAAAAACCCATTTGTATGTTGCACCTCTTCTTCAGTGGTCCAATGTGTCATAGGCCCACTGAGCTACCTATCTTCCTCTACCTCTTCCCAGCTACCTTGTGATCGCTCTTAGAGGCAGCTGCTTTATCCCTTATTAAATAATGTCCTCTCCTGTTGCTGTTGAGACAGTCATGACACAGAAGAACGCTATACAATTTCAGAAGGCTTCTCTCTTTATTATAACAGCATGCTGTCTTTTATACATTCCCAACAAAGTTTATACTTATTCATTGGTTACAATAAATCAACTCAGTGTTCATTGGTACAGAGCAGTCTCCACCATTGTTTTCAACGAACATCCAGTTGCAGGTTTCTTTTGTTTATCTTTTCCTTCTTCTTGGTTTCCAAGTCAACAACCTTGTCAGAATTCCTTTCAGGGGTAAACACGGCTCTTATCAGCTTCTTTGTCAACTAACTCTTCCTAACTCACAGACCAACTGTCAGCCCCTTCCACGCACTTCTGCTTACAGTATTTCTCCTTGCCTACAAGCACAGCTAATACTGGCATAGGCTGGTTCTCTGGTTCAGCCATGGACTCTGTCACTTTGCTCTCAGTTCCAGAGACCTTCCCTCCCTGCAGCAGGCACTGACTTCTGCTGAACAGAGCTCAGTCAGCCTGGACCAGGCCCCAGTACATTGCAGTGGTTTGTGTCTCTCTGAAATTATCTGGTGACAGGTCATCTTTCCCAAATATTTTAATAAATTTTTCTGGATTCCTCACTTTTTCAGAGGTGAAGTTCCAAAACACTGGGAGATGCCCACTGTCCTAGGTACTTGCCCATCCTACCCCACATTCTCTGCCACTCATAACTATCCAGACTTAGGGCAGATCCCTGGGTGATGTTCTTACCTAGTTGTGTAACCTTACACAAGACCTGAGACATATTCATGTGCCATAGCAATGCAAAGGTGCTGGTTTGGACACCCTGGGGATACTTTCCAAGAGCTGTTGTAACTCACCTGGAGGAGAAGGGAAGGATGGCGGAGAGTGTCATTCCCATGGATGGACCCTTGGAGGTGTAGTTATGTGTCATTCCCAGCAGGTAGCTCCTGCGGTGCAGATGTAGCAGCAATGCTGGGTGCACACACTGCCTCAGTCCTGCCAACAGGCATCTTATCAAAAACCCATGTTACAAAGCACAACATCATCATAACCTTAACCCAGAGCTGAGAAATGACACAACAGGGAACACACACAGCAAGCAAGCTGTTATCCAATGCAACTCTGAGAGCACACAACAACATTGCGATTAAATAAATCAACATTGTGGCCAGCAACTATTAAACCAATGCAACTAATTGCTTATAACACATTTATTTTAACATGTCGGAACAGTGGTTATCTTAACCCTTCACACCCATGGGTTGGGTGCCAAAATGGACTCTTGTGGTTTAATCCAGCAGGCAGCTAACACCATACAAACCACATGCTCACTTCCCTGTCACCACCCCAGGATGAGTAAGAGAACTGGGGGAAAAAAAATATTAAATTCACCCGTTGAGATAAAGACAGCTTAATAGGCCAGAAACAGGAGGGGAAACAAAAATAACTACCATTAAAATTAGAATATACAGAACAAGAAATGAACAATGTATCTGCTAGCCACCTGCTAGATGACACACAGCCAGTTCCCAAGCCCCCAGCCAGCTTTATCTGCGGCTGATGTTACTGAGCTTTACACCATATAGTATGGAATATCCCTCCAATCAGTCACGGTCAGCTCTACCACCTGTGTCTCCTCCCAGCTACTTGTGTCTCCCAGCCTCCTCACTGGTGGTGTCTCAGTCACGGTCAGCTCTACCACCTGTGTCTCCTCCCAGCTACTCCCAGCCTCCTCACTGGTGGTGTGATATGAGAAACAGAAAAAGTCCTTGTCTTAATGCTTAACATTTCATCCATCAGTCTGTTTCAACATTATTCCCATCCTAAATCTAAATCACAGCATTATGCCATATACCAGCATGAAAATTAACTCTATTCCACACAAAAGTAGGACAATTGTGTATCAAAAGGACAATCTTACACTACACCATTTAGAAACTTCTCCACATTTGCAGGCTGTTTGGGCAATAGACAAAGACTTGAGATTTCTAACTATCACATTGCTTTGTCACCAAGTGTGTGTTTCAGCAAAGTCTTTCTGTTGACCCAATACATTACCAGTGTATGGTGGCGGCTTAGAAAATGGAAAAGACTTTTCCTAAACCAAACACAGATAAATTATATAACCTTCCTTACATAGTGAACAAACTCTAGATAAGTAGCTTCTATTCTAGCAGTAGCTTCTTGATTTTAAGAAAACTTTGGCCAAAAAAAAAAAGTAAATGCAGTTGGTTTTAGGGGATTTTTATAATTTCAGTGGGATAAATAAAAATGTTACTCACTCCTGTAAAAATGCAAGGCTCATTAATTAAAGAAAAGGTTAGATAATATTAATAGGAAGGACTCACCAGTAGGAGTGAAGGGTTAGAAATGCAAATAGGTAGATAAGGCCAACTGAATGTGCTAAATTTGATAATAAAACCTACGTATTACCAGGGCTTCATGGGTAAAGAAATTTATCACATCCACTTAGCAGTTCACTCATTTCCCAAGCAGTCCAAGTATTCCCATTGATGCAATGCAGGCAAAGCCCGTTTGATAGCTGGGTAAATGTTTAAGCAGTAGGTTTGTTTTGAGCTCCCTGAAACAGAGGCTGTGCTCCTACTTTTAGTATGTCTATATTACTGTAAACCCAGCATCTGCACGTAACTCAGCCCTGGAAGAATGACAGCTAACAGGAACAATAATAGTGACATAAAATGTAGGAATAGAATGCACAAAACTAGTGGCTAAAAATTTGCATGCAGCTCTAGATAGAAAAGCTTCTGTGGCATAATAGAGAAACAGGCATTTAAAGGTTTGCTTCTACAATTTCCAACTCTCTTGTAATTCCAGGAACAGTTACAACCATTGGAATGTTGATATAAATGAGAGTGTGTAGAGATCTAGAAGATTAGATCCACGTCAGACTTTTGTTTTATTCAGAGGTTTGGCTTCCTGCCCTCTGTTCAGGCAATAAATTGGCTGTATCAGAGCTGCTTCTAGCATTCTGTTCAGTAGAAGTATCCCAGCAGAGACAAAACCACACAAAATAAGGTAAGCAAGAATGGCAGATTACAGCAGGATTAAATAATTTAAGATTATGTTATCAGACTGTTTGTTGAAATTTTATGAGTGATTTTTTAAGTTGACGGTAAAGTTTTCTTAAGAAATCTCTTCAATTTTTTGTATCCTTGTGTCTAGTTTAGATTATAGATTTTGTAAAGCATTGTTTGAAAGAGACTATAACCTCATTTTTTATTAGCTATAGGATGCCAAAAATTATTTTAATCCACTATTAAATTGGAATAAACCTGGAGGAATTACTATCTCTACTAGCAGTCCTGACAGCTGCAACCCAATACACTCAACTAAAACAGTTCTGACCCTGTAAGGATCTTAGACATATCATGACAGGAATTTGTCAACACAAATGAGATAATATACTGTCAACAACAGTATGAGATAATATTTGGAACATACCACCATATGGATGAACTCCAAAATTCTAAATGTTGTTTTTATGGACTGAATTTGATTTAATTGTATGATTACATGTATCTTGGGGTTAAATGAAAGAGAGAACAAATAAAATCACAACAGGAGCAAGAGAGACTATATAACAGGTTTTCTTTGCTGTCTTCTTATCAATGAATAATATAATTAATGTAGTAGTAAAAAAATTCAAATTTCCTTTGCTTTTAGTATGATCTTGTTGTCATTGACCACAAACATACTCATTAGTTTATTAGGAGTAGTTGGACTGCTGCTAGTTTCAGCTGTTTAAAGAACTTTAATTCCCTTATACTCAGTTTGGATGTGAAATGAAACTAATCAGATCCAAGTTATGAAAACAGTGGTTGACATGTCTACAGCCATGACCAATATCCAAATCTTCTTTGTCCACTTCAATGTATACCTTACAGAAGAGAGAAAAGAACTGAGCAAATAGGTATGAAAGACATTAGGATAAAGAAATCAACATAAGAAGATATACACAGCATAAAAGACTATGACAAAGAATGAAAAATGGGGGCATAGGTGACATAACTATAAGAACATGTAATGACAGGAAAGGTTTCTTGAAGTGGGAGTATTTGTATGTTACTCAGTCTTAAGGAATATATGGCAATTCAAGGTGTGAAAGCTTATTTATTGTAGGGAGTTTTAATTGTTCTGGAGAACAGCTAATTGGCTTCTGAGGAGCCAACAGAAGTAAAGTTCTACCACAACCTTTTTTATTTTCTACTTGTTTAAACAAGACAAAGTAATTAAAATTTAGTACAGTCCTTCATAACATCAAGGTTACCAGTCCATAACTCATAGAAAGTTTCTTCAGAATTTATCCACTTCCTAAACATGTTTCTGAAAATGTCTTTGGACTGGTCTGCCCTCTTCAGGAATTATTCAGTCCTGACTTTTGAACATTCTCCTCTTTTTCTTACCATTTTAAGTATTGCAGGTGCAAGACTCTCAACATAGATCAAAACCAGGAACTGGGATCTTCAGAACTTCTGATCAAGAGCTGTCAAACTAGAATTACACTTGTTTTTAGTAGGAAACTTGAGTAAGTGATGGTGTGGGTTTGAACTCACAGACCTAGCAAAGCCCAAAAACTTTGTTAATGAATGCCTAGAGACTTAGATTTCTCAAGATCCACAAGGTGGCATTACTGTCCACACACACCATAGAGCCCGATTCACGTGGAAGTTTCCAGAGACCAGTTTTCTAGTGAAAAAAACCCACAAAGAATGTTTTCTTTTGTTAAGAATTCTCAGTTATAAAGCAGTTTCAACCAAGATGAGGAAGACCCAGCCTTTTCGTTCGACTGCAAGTTATCACTCACGATATGAATCCTATTGACAAGGAAGTGCAATCCCATATAATAAATGTTTCATTTTCAGTGATCTAACTGAATGTTGTTATAACTAGAGTTGAAGAGAGTGAATAAGAGCCTTAGTTTTCCCTTTTAGTCTGGTAACAAGAGAACTGCCACAGACAGAAGTTTTTAATTTCATGTAAAAATTTAATACCAAGATTTGTATCAGGGAAGCAAGCCAAACCAGAAAGCAGAACTGCCTTACTCTTCCTTGGGTGAATTTACAAACCATTACACTTGCGTCAGAGCCATAATCTTTCTGGTCTGACAGATATATAATTATTCTGTGCAAAGCTGTGTGGGACTACCCATCTTCACGTGTTTCATTCACCAGGATACCAGACAGAATTGAAGCCTGTTGTTTTCTTTGGTCTGCACTTGTCATAAACACTTGTCATAAACACTTGTCGTAAACAGGTGACTTCAGGAGAGCATGTAGACTTCAGAATTTCAGCTTCCCTTCCTTTAAACCAAAGTAATGTCCTTAGCTTTTCTGAGATGCAGTGACTTAACTTGCAACTTTGGGATACCTTAGTAGGTGCCTGGGTGGTTTCACCATCAAAGTAGTTCACATTCTTAGACATCAACCTCTCCTTCAGGTATTTAATCTGATATTCCTTATTAATTATAACATATTCCTCAAGTTTCCAAACTCAAGTCCTCATTTCTAAGGCAAGATTTCCTGAACCTCGGTTTAAGATTGCTATATACTTACGTATACCTCCGAGAGTCAGATTATGCTGTTTTGAAGTTAGCCTCATTTTCAATCACTTATGAATACATTTTTTTTTCTTTGACAATTATCTTAGACTGTATCCACAAAATGAATGTGATTTTCCAATTCAGTTAGCAAAATGTAGCTAGCTTCCTATGATTGACAAACAAAAACTGAAGCCACAAACACTGCTTATGTATTATCCAAGGGGAAGTCTTTCAAAATATATTCATTCAACACAACTGTGTTATTCAAATGTGTTGGTATGTATCTTAGTGAAAGTTTAGGTAGTTAACTGATTAACCATCACTGGGAATGCAGGTTTTTTTGCTTTGCAAGACAAAGGCTTGGGGATCATGTAAGAAGTCAAACATTTTTTGAGTTTATCTACTTCTATTAACTGCCATTTATCAAAATTATATTTGAAAACTTGCTTCTCAATGGAAACACAAAGTCTTGTGACAAATTCTAACTCCTACTTTAGGACTTGAAAAGGAAGTCAAGTGAGATCATTGTCATCAGTATTTCTTCAGCGCCTCCACAATGCTGCTCCGCTCAGGCCGTAGAAAGCCCTATCAAATGCCTCCCCGTAGAAGGCAGTCTGTGGAGAAGAAATTTCTGCTTAGAAACATGAGAACAGCTGCTGGAAAGTCAGGTAACTCTTACCTGAGTGACAGATATGTTTGTAATGTTGAAAAGAATATTCCAATCCAAGGCAAAATCCAACAAAATTAAGCATGCGGAACAGCTTTTCTATAACGCTGTCAACATTTAAAATATTTGGTGAAAAATAGACCCCAAAAGCGACCTTTAAAATAACCAGAACAGAAATACTTTTTAAAATACTGACATTACATTTTTCACCCCACTATGTTCAGAGCAGTAATTTCTGATATACAAATGTACCTCCCTGGAAAAGGGTGAATGATCAGCAGACCTGCCAGCCATTCTAGTCTGGGCACTGTACTAGTTCTTGCAATTCTAGTTATAAGTAGAATTTTTGCACTATAACTACTTCAATATAAAATTTTTAAAAGGTTTGCTATATTGATTATTGTAGTTGTTCTGTTGCTTTTTAGAATAACCCATCTTTTTTTCTGGAAGCCTGATTGCCAGCTGTCTTTGAAGAGAAAACCTTTGTCCAACTATACATCAGCTACGCATGTAATCAAAGGTCCAACACAGAACCTGCCACTTCTAGAGTGTGTGATTCCAGCTGTCAGGATGTGCATCATCCTTCTCTTTCTGCAGAGTTTCTGTTCAGCCTAAACAGGGTGGAAAGAAAGCTTTTTGGAAACAATGCAATTTCTTCAAAATATTTGCCTAAATACAGATGTTTCAGAGGAGGTATTTCATAATAAAATAAGTAAAAAAGTTTTTGGTGAAGTCAAGCATTCCTAAAACATTATGCTACTGCTGATACATGCTGTGTATCCTGTTTCATTTGCCTAATTATTCTGGCAAAGACAGGATTTTTTGTTTCACAGCATACCCTGGAGGTGTTTGTTATCTCAGAAATGCTTAACTACATTTCAAGTATCAAATCTCTTCCAGTAAAACACTGTGCAGCTGAACATAATAAAAATTGTGACTTATAGTGTTATTCTGGAGGTGTCTGATATCCAAGTGTCTGGACATACATCCTTCTAACATCCAGAACAACACAGTTGTGTTTAGGAATGAAAGGGAATAATTTCCCTCCTGGAAGCTTTTAGCTAGAAGGACCTGGGTTTGTTGGTTTGTTTTTTTGTTTCTTTTTCAGGATGAGATGTCCAATCTTCAAACTAAATGCTGCTATTTTAGCTAGCCATAAGCACTCTAACGTAAAAGTCCTATTTATACCCAGATCCAATATTCAAAATGCAAAGTTGGGAAATGGACAAGTACTTACCTATGAAATACAGGAAACTAGTCTATAAACAGTATGCTGCAGAGAAACATTCCTTACTTGATCTCTTCTTTTCTTCATAAAGAAACTTACAATTTTATTTTTCACATCTCTCCACTCAAAGATTTCTGTGGACAGCCTTGCTTTGGCTCAGGCTTCCCACAGAGCTCCATTGGCTACTCTAAGTCTACTCATTCACCAGCCAGCTGTAAATGTGGACCCACTCACCCACATTCAAATTCATCCTGTCCCAACTAATCTTTAGTCTTTTTCAACATAGCTATCTGCATGCTGTTCACCATCCCTCTTTCTTACACTATTCCTCAGGCTCTTGACTTGAAAGCTATTTTGTCAAACTCAAGCTTTCATATGTTATTTCTCCAAAAGGTTGAGATATATATTTTCTGGTCACTGACATAACCTTCTAAGTAAAGAAATGTTTATTTTTCCTTCTTCACACCAATACCAAGCCCTCAAAAATGCTGCTTAAGCCCACTGGATAATTTCTAGTATATGTTGTTTATATTGCTCATAGTTCAAATATACATAGATTATCAAGTAAAGATTGTTTAAAAATGCACTTATCTTTTTCTAATGGAATGTTGTAATTTTTCTCTTGATAATAAAATTAATTATAACTCACTTTTTATTAGCGTTTAGCCTGCGAGAAACATTGAAATGTTATATACTAACTGAAGATTCAAAAACAGTGCATTTTGATATAGATGAAGATGGTCATCATGAAATATGTACCAAGGATTCACAATCCCATGAAGGTAATGTTTCTTGTGTACCAAAACTCATCAACTGTATGTACAGTACTCAGGAAATTTTCAAATGTACTATTGTGTGTCATGTGTCCCTGAGTCCCTCTCTCCAAGAAAGACATCGAGGGGCTGGAGAATGTCCAGAGAAGGGAAATGGAGCTGGGGAAGGGTTTGCAGCACCAGACCTGTGAGGAGCAGAGGAGGGAGCTGGGGGTGTTTAGCCTGGAGGAAAAGAGGCTCAGAAGAGACCTTATCCCTACAGCTGCCAAACAGGAGGGTGTATCCAGGTGGGGGTTGGTCCCTTCTTGCAGGTAACAAGAGGCTGGATGAGGGGAAATGGCCTCGGGTTGTGCCAGAGGAAGTTTAGATTAAACATTAGGAAAAATGTCTCTGTTGCAAGTGCTGCCAAGCTTTGGAACAGGGCTCCCAGGGAAGTGTTTGTGTCTCCACCCATGCAGGGATTTAGGTGTTTGGGTGTGGTCCTTAGGGACATGGTGTACTTGGCAGTGTCAGATTATGGTTGTATTCAATAACTATAAGGGTCTTTTCCAAGCTAAATGATTTTGTGATCCTGTTCTCTGTAGACATAACACTATATTGGATCTGTAGGAATATGGATAATGACACAATAAAAATTTTATCCTGATTTGCAGTAAGCATTTGTATATTTAAATGATAAGATTATATTGTTCATGCTCATTTGTCTTAGTGGAAGTCTAGACATTTAGCTCAAAAGGGAGACAAAGGAAAGATAACACTCAAGAACAAATGCAAAATGCAAGAACAAATGCAAAATGGAGAATAGAGCACATTCTGGAATTTGTGAGGTCATTTTGTTTTTAATTGAACTCTTTTGTCTCAAATGTGGCTTCAATATTTGACACCAAAGATGCTATCATAACTACCATCATGCAAAGACTTGTTAGAGGACATAATTTTGGTAGAGAAAAGTTAAATAATATCAAATACAATTATTATAGAATGATACAATTATTCTAGAATGGTACCATTTCCAGAGATGTGAAAGTAGGAAAAAAACTCAATAAAATATCTCTTTAACCAAAATAGAGGAAAAAGTTGAAATCTTTAAGTTAGCTATTGAATTACTGAAACTTTCATTCAATTAAATTGAGAATAATGCCAGATACATTGATAGGGTACTTAAGTGTCTTTTTTATATCTTTCAGTATCTTTTCCTTGATAAGTCCATCAAATTTTGGAGTCACTCAGACAATCATTATTGTTAATTTTTGAATAGAACCAAAACCTGTGTAGGTATACAATGGGAGCAGTTTGTGAACAGATACATAGTGTGACAAGCCTGATGTAGAAGATACTAATATTCCTAGAACACAAAAACACAACCAAACCAAACAAACCGAAACAAAAAAAACCCCAAAAACAACAAAAAAGGAAATGCTGTGTAATATTATTGTGCACTTAAGCACCAAAGACATATGTTCATGATGCAGTTAAGACAACATAATATTAGGAACAAATTGTAATGAGTTTGGGACATTTTTGCCAGAAGTGGGTGATGTTTTCCCTGGCTCACTGGCTGTGTGATTCAAGCTGATGTTAGAAAAGCCAGAAACAACCTGCTATTATTACCTGATGCCTTCCAACCCCATACATTTCATATTAGGGTACTCACTTTCACTGCCAAAGCAATTCAGGCTCCTCTTTAATAGCATACTATGCTTTACAGCTGGTCACCAGCCTCTTGTTTCTTAGGTGCAATCTCTGTTGCAAAAGATAATTAAGCAATCAATACACTTTTTAGGCTCAGTGTCAGACTTCAGTGTACTTGTTCACAAGTCTAACTGTACAGCCTTACAGGGTTAAATGGATTCAGAGACCCTCAAGAAAAGAAATCTGATATCTATTACACACTTCTTCTCAGAGTATGTTTCAAAACAATTCATGAAAGAGTTTGTATTATTTTTAAATCTGAGAAACGTAGCTCTCTAATTCCACATATTTGTTAAATACCTTCTGTTTTAGATATTGCGTGGTTAAGCATGTTCACAAGGACTGAAGCAGCAGGTACTGATAAATCTCTTGGGGAACAAACAGGTATCATCTCTTTGTTTGGGTCTGGTTTTGAAGATACATTTGAGTGTCAGAAAAGAAGGTAGTAGTGTTTTACGCATAGACTTACCATTAGAAGTAACATATTTTAATCAGATTTTTCACTTAGCTCAGGTTATTGGACAGGTCTAAAAATAAAAAAGCTTTCTGTGTTCCATAAGAAGAAATCTTCAAAGTTACAAAATTTGTAAATTAGGAGTAGTGGCTTGGACTGAAAACAAATGTATGTAAGGGAATGTATTGTATGCAAACTGGAGCATACAATTTTCTTGTAGAAAAGTCTGGGTGTTCCATTGCTGGCATAGGAGTCTTAAAGTGAAGGCTCGTTTTAGCAGGAGAGGAAAACCAAAGAGAAATTAATATGAAGAAAGAGGAGGCATGCTTTCGGAACTTTCATATTGTATAGTTACGAAATTATTGAGAAAATCAAAGATATATATATATATATATATATGTATATATATATAAGTTTAGGTATTACAGTGGAAGAAAAATGCACTCTAATTCCAATCATCAAGAGTTTCTGTAACCAATAAGAACAAATCTGGTTCAGTACTGTGCAAGGGACAAATGAGGATTTCTAGGGAACAGTATAAAAATGCTGATATCCCAAAGCTTTACATTTTAGGGATATCCCTAAGCAAAAAGGTTTTTTACTTATTTAATTTCAAGGCATTTTCTTTGCATGGATTTTTAAATTGCCCCTTAGACTCTGGTAACGTTTCATTGACCAGAGAAGCAAGGTAATTAATTCAAAAGCCATAAGAGAGTGGAAGTGTCATTGATATATAAGCACAGAAAGGTTCCTTATTTTCCTTGCCATTCTCTGGCTGCTTGATGGACCACTTGTCACATCTTTTAGAGGTGATAGAGAAAGCTGGGCTTCTTTGGACTTACTCAGAAAAAACAATGTATAAGCAAGTCACAATAAACTCTAGATGGAGTAAGACAAGGATAGTTAGGATATAAGTCATGTTGATGGATGTCCCTCATCAACTGGGTGGACTACTCCTGCAAATCTCTTTTGTTGTCAATCTTACCTTCAAGAGAGAGCACTCTTGACTTGGATAAGAAACCTCTCTTGCCTGTTGATGTGTCTCTCAAATGCTACAACTGAAATTGGACAATTGCAGCTGAAGCAATTTAAGGTGATGTCACAAAAAGTAATAAAAATTACAGAATTGTAGACCTGCTATAGTAGCCTACTATGTTTATCTAAATACTCATTTTAACTGAATAAAGCATAATCAGTTTGAGTTTTTCTCAATTTTTAACAAGGATTTTTATGCTCTTTTCATGCTATAGCTGTCTCAGAGCTGCAGCTAAAAATATAGATCAACTGCCACTTTCTTTTGTATTTTCTGCCTTAAATGGAACACTTGTCATACTTCTAAAAGCACAAGTGGTGTTTTTTGAAGTAAGTTTGCAAGTCAGTGAGATAAATATAGCATCACTGAGCAGTCACTAATGTAATGGGGTTTTTTAAGGTAATGCTCTTGTGTGCTGTATCAGTTGGCAAAGGGTACTTTAATTTAATTACTTTTTGATGACATCTTGAAGTAGCAGAAGGTAACAATGAACATTGTCAGTTTAGCAGGCTGAAGAATATCCCATATTATTGATAACATCTTACTTCCTGCAGCTGCAAAAACAGTGTTAGCTCAAAAACTGAATTAATCCAATGCATCCACAATTACAATAGTAGAAAGATTTTTATCTAGAAACATGCAGAAAGTAGAAAGGAAAAATTGCTACATTTCCATATTGACACACACATTACACATATGAGTTATCTACCACTACATAGGCCTTTGTAGTTCACCTGACATGTAGTAATGAATAACTGATATTTCATACACTGACCATAAAAGTAGAGAAATAAAATATATATATGGCAAATTTAAAGTCTCACAAAGTCTCACAAATGCTTTAAATACTTTAGACAACAGAATGGTATCAAGAGTGATTGTATTTATTTCTGTTCCCATGCCTATAAATTATGTTTTCTCTTTGTAGAGAACATTCAGCTCTTTTTGATTTTATAAAGTGGTACTGATATTATTACAATATTCTCCTCTGTGGAAAACAGATTCTAACAATTTGGTGAGCCTCACACAGAGATCAAAGCTTAATGAATTTGTCCTGTTGTGCAAGGGTAAGAAGCATCTCTCTCTGAAGGTAAGAAGTTGTTTATTTTCTTTATAATGTGCGGGTGTTCTGTCTTACTATAAGACAATTTCCCCCACAGAACTTTTCAAATTCATTTTTCTTACCACCTTCCATATTTCATACCTTCTCAGTGTGTCCCTTTATTCTTTTTTTGGGAAATACTCAGAGAAGATTATTGCAAAAATTTTGGGGTTGGGTAGTTGACTACCGCCACTAGAAGATAGTCAGGGGTGTTGGAGTCCAGTCTCTGTGGAGGAAGAGTGATCTTCTTAGCCAGAAAACATGCAGGAAAATAAGAAGGGAGTAAAAAGCAGAAATCTTGCCTTGGAAAAAGAGGAGTTTTAGATGGAAATTATTTTCTTCCAATGAACGTGCATCACAGGACTAGGAATGTGATGGAGAGAAAACACAGCTGAACATCCAGTTTCAAACATTTGCCATCTGGTGTCTAAGCATTCCCATTTTCTTCATTCTTGTGAAGGTTTTTTTCTGATAGGAAGGGAAGGCAAGGCTAGTCTTCCCAGAGAGGGATTATAAGCATTGCTAAAATCTGTCTGAGGAAGAATGCTGTGTTGCAATTTACCATCTAAAGCAGAGCAAAGGTCCAAGAAGCTCTGGTTACAGGTATGTTGAGATAAAGAACCCTTCGCCTAATGTCACTCATGCATGATGGTGTAAAAAACCAAATGCTTCCTCAAAAAATCTTGGATGTTTTCCATTTGTTTTTAACTCACAAATGACTCTCCATAACATCTATTTCCCAAATTCTTCTAGGAAAATGTGTATTGTAAGATATATAAATTATATTTTTTACCCTGTTACTCACAGAAAGGGATTTTCCTTTCTGTCCCTGAAACAGCAACTATTTTTAAAGGATTTTTCTGGTTCAGAGGTTGCCTTCTCATAAACCAATTTTCTGAAGGGTGTTCTATGGAATCAACGGAAGAACTGAGTGTTGAGCCTTAATGGATTTTACTTTCCAAGTAAAGTAAAATTTTAAACTATTTTAAAATAACTTTAAAATAAGAACTATTTTAAAATTCCAGGTCATAGCAGATTTTGTTTCTTGACATAACTGAAGATGAAGTAAGACATACTTGGTGTCTACCAAATATGTAAAAACCTTGGAAAGATCACAAACCTTTATTTTTCCAGCACAATACAAATAATTTCCTTAGTTTCAACAAGGATTCTGGTATGGAACAAGACAAGACTTGTTATCTGGAAAATGTTTTGGTATCCTGGTACAATATGGCTCAATCAGGGTTGCATTTCTAAATACGACCTGGGCACTGATCAGTTTGACAGACTGTCTTGAGTATCTGCTTTCAACTCAATTCATTTTTCATTGCAAATGGTGAAAGGGGAATATATTAATGGAATTTTTTCAATAATTTATCAATTTATTAATTTGGGATTACTTGAATGTAATAATTAATGAACTTCCCAAAAATATAGTTTTCTTTAGAATTCATGACACATTTGATGGGTTTGAAAAGCAAAATAGGATGAAAAAATTACCAAATTAAATTACAAAATTAACAAATCTGTATGTTGTAAACACAGGTCTTAAAAGCATCCTGTTCAGAGCCAGATGGTCCTTTAGTGGAGAGATGTAAAAGGAAAACTTGCGGCCATGAAGATCCTGACTTTAAACAGGTATACAATTACGATCAAACAAATAAAAACCTGTGTGTGAGATTGTGTATGCAAATACAGATGTGTAAAAAGGGCAGCTAAATTCATCCTGTTACTTTTTAAGTGACAAAACTGCTTATTTTTCTTTCAGCTGTTTTTTTGTTTTTTTCTCATAAAAGGGAAAATACAAAATTTTCCCTTGACTTATATTTATGACTACCTCCTTCAATAAGCAAAATACCTGACTTTCAATTAAAACATGAAAGTTTTCTATATTACTATGCTTATGCAAAATGGAGGGAGACACAAAGTAGATTTTATCTGGTACAAATTCTTTGGCAAGATGCAGAAAATCTGGGTGAGTGTACTAGCAGATTGGATCTAGAAGATCTAGAAGGATAAGATTACAAAATTTGTGACATTTTAAGAACTAATGGATCCATTACTAATAAACTTCTGGGAAGTAATAAAACCCTGTCATTTTCAGGGTTTTTTCAGATGAATCAGAAATTCATCTGATTAATTTCATATCATCAGATGTTTATAAATCAGGAATAATGCATTGTGGACAGAAATACAGATAACTGGGTGGTTTCTTCACTTTTTTTTTAATAAAAGCTTGGTTTTGTTGACTCTTCTCTATATATAGAAATTATAAAACATAGCAGAAACATGAAGGAAATTAGTTGCTCTTTGGGATACCTAAACTTTAGGATAATAGACATTATAATCTAGAGAAAATGCAAAACTAAGGAAATATAGCTAATAATGTTTTTGGTTAGCATTGTAGTCCTGTGGCTTTATCATTCAACTGAAAAGGCAATCTTTCCAATTACAATAGGCAAAATCAGAGCTATCTGAACGCAGGTAGATTCAGAACTTCATAAGAGGAACTCTGAAACCCTGAAAACCTGAAATTCCCAGCCTAAAATTTCTAAAATGCTGACCTTTCTACTAAGTCAGAAAGCCTTGAATTACCAATGCTGGTAAAGTGACATCTATCTGAAATGGTTTCAAAAGGTATGAGCTACAGTACCAATAATTATTGAAAAGATCTACTGCATTCTGGACCTGTAAAATTTAAGTGGGTCCTTCAGTTTAAGTTCTGCTGACTTACTCATCTGCCATTAATATTCTCTGGCTCCCCACAGAAGGAGAAAGCAGCAAAACTTAGGAAATTTTTAATGCAACTTTTATGCTTTTATGTCCCCCCTTGTATGCTGTAAATTATCAAAGTCATATTGACTTCTGCAAATTTTATTTAATACACTCTTTTATTTCATACTCTTTTAAAATATAAAAATACATGCCTTTTCTGTGGAGCTGTTCACAGAGGCTTGGTGTCTTTATCCCAGCAAGTTTTGGGAGACATCTGGAAAGAGCTGTAACAATTGTCTGTAGAGACCTATATATCACTTTGGGTTTTTAAACATAGTTAAAATGAAAAATTCTTTCTGGAAACCCATTCATTACCTAGTGAACAGATAGTGATTGCTCATCATGGTTTCTTGCTGATATCGTGAAACAGAAGAAAAAAATGTCACTCATTTGTACGAGGAGAAATCAGAAGCCTGCACTTGAACCATATCCGGTTGGGTAAAGAGGCAAAATCATAGGCAACTCTTAATCATGAGATTCTTAGTAAACCTTCTAAAATGAGTGTACCGATCAGTAAATAATTCCTAGTGTGATGAATAATGCCTGCATTGTCCTTAGGATGAGAAAGTGTGGGAGTAGATCACTGAGATGGAGAAATACTTCTCATGGACAATGACAAAGCTATGCAGGGATGCAATTTGATATTTAATCTGCTAGCTTTGAACAGTAAATCTTAAAAACAGGCATTTTCTTTTTTTTATTTTTTTATTTGAAGACTGCCAGTAGAAGTAGTAGAAACATGAGAATCTGTAGACCCTATTGTTATACCAGGAAGAGTTGTATATAGTGTTGTAAACATTCATTTCTGTAACCAAGGCTATTGAAACATTGACACATGATTCACAATCAATATTAATTGAAACATCTTTTATTAAATTTAATTTAAAACATTAATTAGGTTGTAATAACAATAAAATAATTCTTTAAAATTGCAGCAAGTAATAGTTTGCAATAACATCTGATTCTGATTGGGGATTAAGTCAGAAAAGCAACACAGGTGGCAACCAATATTTATTGCAATGCTCTTATGGTAGGCATGGAAAACTGCACTGTAGACACAGCTATGGCCTCATACAGTTCACACAGTGGCAGCATCCCAGCCAGAGCAGTAGTGGAGAAGGAAACCTCATCAGCTTGCTCAGGAGCATTTGCTTATAACTGTGATTATTCTAACTCTGTAATGAGCATGCTTATGTAAGACCATTCTTATCATAATTAATAATATCATCGGAAAAAAATGCAGTTAACTACACAACAGAATGACCTCAGAGCTACAGAACAGTACTTCACTTTAGATTATCTACTTAAAAGGTTTTCCCAGTTCCCCCACCCATTGCTCATAATTCTCCCAGTAGGAAAGCCAGCTCCCATTTTACCATTTGCCTTAATTATGTGTACATTTTTTACTATTTCTCTTTTTTACTCTTCCAGAAGTGCAGAAATTAGTGAACGTATAATGGTTATCAAAGAAGTACACATCTTCTTCAGTACATATCTGTAGTACTCATTTTAGTGTAACTTCTGTTCTGATTCAACGATAATATTTTATGTATTCTTGACCCATTACCACCCTCAGACTTTTGATGATGTATTCATTACCCTCTCAGCTTTTCTGAAATACAAGTAGCACTCAATTTTCCCTCTGTTTCAAATCTTCATGAATTAACACATTTGCTTAAAAGAATACTAAAGGATAGGATTCAATAATTTCAATTGCTGGATCAGGCTGCTTTTCTTCAGGTTGTTGTTGTTCCTGGCTGGATAATGCAAGGTTATTAGATCATTGTATCCAGACAGCATTTCCCAAAGTTTTGACTGAAATATCCCAGAATGGGTGGACTGGGACCTGAAGGACAGCAGCTGTGGAAGTTCTGTTAAGAGCTGTAACAGTTTATTCCACAGTCCTCTCTATTTTACTGAGTAGTTTGATAAAGACAAGTAAGAAAGTAAGAAAGAGATTATACCTGAGGCTAAGCAGTCATGAAAGACTTTTTAAAGAGACTTCCTCTTTACTCCAGTTAAGTAGGCCAAAATAATCTCCAAACATTAAATCTGGCAAGGCCCACCAAGATACCTTGGTTCTGAAGTTTTGACCTTGTAAGTACTGACAATGCCATGTTTACTGCGCTTGGCAGCAGGCTGACAGAGCACAGTCCTTTTTGGCACCCAGCATGCAGCTTGAGATTCCTGGATGTTTTACTCCAAAAGTTGATTTATCTATTGAAAAGCCAAGGAGTGATCAGCAAGCTTTACTCACACTTCAGTAGTCACATATGGCCAGTGTAGAAGTCTGATGGAAGTTGAAAGTTCTGGGCTCAACAAAGTCACACCACCATTGAGGGCTGCTGTTTCAGAGACCCTGCACCTTCAGTAGGAATGGAATCAAAGGTGGCAAAGTGAATGCTACAGCTGATATTGCCAAAACATTTTTCCTGATCAATTCAGCAGCAGTGTGCAGGCCAAAGTTTACTTTCAGGGGAGGGATGTCTGTACACCAGAAGCTGACTGATTCAGGGCTGGAAGCACAGCCCTACTATTCATCAGAAAGGATCAACTGTGGCAAAAAAATAGACTGAGGTGTGTTGCTCCAGCCAGCATCCAAGTTCCTGCCCCAGATATTCATGCAGACCCACTCCCTGCCAGTGGACAGGGGAGAGAATACGCGAGAAACGACACCTCACTTCTTAAAATTTCAAAAGGTTTGTTGAACCACAACAAGGGACTGAATAAGGAAAAGGGGACTGCACTGGGTGCTTAGCTGCAGCCAGACGCACACTGCCCACACCCACAATAATCCTTATATATGCTACTGACAAGCCACCCCTGGTATGCCAACCCTCTCCACACTCGTGCATGTGTCACTCTTCCAACCCCGCTCCTCCTTCGTCCCACCTTTTGGAGTCTGTGCAGCTCTTCTTGCTTCAACTTTCCCAGTGGTCAGAGATCAACTTTCAGCATTACAAAATTTATATGAAAAAACACCAGGTCTTAACAGAACTTATTTTAACATTATAACATAGATATAGCATTCATGAGAGCCAGCACCATACTTTGCATTTATTACAGAATAGCAAGAGCAAAAGTAAGAAAATTTTTGAGTTAAGGAAAAAACCTCAGAAGCAAAACATATGAAGGTCAGAAAAAACCACAAGTGATGCAAAGCACTTACTCATCTCCTCCCCTGACCAATGCTCAGCCAGTCTCTGAGCAGTATTTTTCTCAGAAGCAAACACCCATCCCCTCAACCCCACATTTTCCATCCTCCACACCAAGCTTTATGACTGGCCATGACATCACATGGCATAGAGTATCCCTTTGGCCACTCTGACGCAGCTGTCCCAGCTGTGCTCCATCTCAGGCTCTTGCCCATCCCAACTTACGCACTGAGTGGGAAGAAAGAGAAGCTCATGGTGTTGTGCATGCACTGCACAACAAAAGCCAAAATATTCACTGGTGTGTCATCAATCCTCTTTTAGCCACAAACCACATAACTAATTTGTAATGCCTTCCAAGGTCCATAACTTCTGTGATGCAGAACTTAACCTTCAGCTCCGTTTTACTGGTTTGCTTATCATCATTGCAGGACTCATGTCTCTTTGATCATGTTCTCTTTGATTCCTTGCTTTATCTGAGGCAAAATGTGGATTGCAGTGTGCCCTACACTCTTTTGTGTAAAGCATCACGACAACATAAGACGTTCTGTTTCAGCTGGCCTTCAAATCCATTCTTTTTTATCTTCTAGTTTCTTCCTAGGTTAGAGCGCAGCATTTAAACCTAGCTTGGAGTAATGCTCATTATACCATATTCGATCTGACTTTATATAGTTTTGAGTCTATTTGTTTTAAAACTTGTATACTACTCTCACATCTTTTTCTGTAGTTCCCATCACTGACATGTTTTACTTTAGCCTGCGAAGACAATCTGTAACATTTTTCTGACATGAGCATATTTCAAATATTTCAAATGCATTGTGAATCACCTGTGGGACATGAATGAAGGTGAAATTTTTGTCATTAAATATAAAACCTAAGCTGTAAATTGGTTCTTCATTTAATGCAATGGAAAGCAAAATATCAAATTGTAACTAAAAATCAGTAGCATTTTTTCTTGGAACTTGCAAGTTGTCTTGACTCCTACTGTGGAAACTGTCCTCAGGAGGAACATTATCTGTCAGTAGTCCACCACATTCTTCAGGTTTTCTCATTATCCTTCTTTATAGGATAGAGAAAATCACCTCTGCCATAATTTCTTGCAAAACATTGTACTCTTTCCAATGACCTGCTGCACCTCCCAGCCCTAATGGTGTTTCATTATGCTTCTATTTCCTTCTTCCTTCTCCCAGTCAAATAGTGTCATCCATTTTTCTCTTACAGTTTTCCACCTAATTTTCCATCATTTCATGAAGGTACAGTAGGTTTTTTTAAATTTCTGGATCTCAATCTGCCTTTGTGAGCATGTACATTTTGCTTTACAAAACCCATTTGGAATCTCCCTTGCTCTAGCATGAATTTCTGCATTGTACATATGAATCTCTCTCCTTGCTTCTACTGGTTTTCTTTCACCAAATATTCTTATTCCTTTTATGTTTGCTTTTTACCATTCTGAGTCCCTAGAAGGTATTTGTTTCCCAAAGACACATTTTCTTCAACTTTCTTAAGAGTATTTTTTAAAACTTTTTTTTTTTTGATTAAAGCTGCAGACACTGTTGTTACATTGAATTGATCAGGACAGAATGTTGTAGATGCTTCCCATTGCTGATAACAGAAGGTGTATTCCCCAAGTTTCCTTGAGGTTCTCTAGAATAACTGCAAAACATTTTCTTTCCATCTCCTATTGTCATATGGGCTAAAAGGACACATTGCTCCTTCTGTCAAAAGGTGGTTATTGCCAATGCTGTAATCTCCAGCAAGCTGGTACCCTTAAATGCACTCCTGTTTTTCTTCAAGCATTCAGTATTACTGCAAAGTAATCTTTGTAAAGTTTCTTTTTAGAAGTCCCCTTAAACAATGATAACACACCAGACTAGCCAGAGTTACAGAACTGGGCAGAACATGGGCAGACTTATAGAACACGGGCAGGACAAGAGTGTTCAGCAAGGTCACTCAAAAGGAAAGTTAAAATAAGTTGATTACAATATGTTCAGTCTTTCCCAAAAGATACTCTAAATTCCCTGCTCTCTGGCAGGAAGCTGAGTTGGGGGAAACACAAATCTTAACCTTCTATTAATTAATAATGTCCCACTATTAGCATCAGGTAACTATTCACACAGCATTCACAGTTAGTCCTTCGCTCAGTGCACACAGGCAGGGGCAGGGGCTCATACCCCCGCCCCAGCAGTTCCAGGCAGCTGTGCACAGTCACACCCAGGGGTCCTGGTTTCAGCAGCTGTGCTCACACTCACTGCCTGTGATCTCTGTACAGCAACTGTTTGGATGTGATGTGGATTACACAACCTGTGGTAGGTGCTGGAGGAGCGCTGGAGACCACGGGTAGGTTCAGCAGCCCTGTGGTGCCTCAAGCTTAACAGTTTCTGCAGATTTCAGAACATACTCTTCCCCTCTCTGACGTGACATTTTTTTGTAACTATTTCTCCACCCCTACCCTGAGGTGCCCAGTCAACCCAAACACACACACACACCCGCACGCACACACACACACACACACACACAGAGTAGCCCTTTAGACAATAGCTATTGCACCAGAAATGGATCTTTTAAAAAAGTGCATTGGAAATTGGAGATATACAGAAAAGCCACAGGTAATAGAGTTTAAGTTGTTTAAGAGTAGTTTCTACTGTAACATTCTAATTTTACTTCAAAAGAGGCAAAAAACCTGTAGATTGAAATTTTACTGCTAGTGGCAGTTGACAGGGTAGGCCTAAGGTGAGAAAATGGTTTAACCAGACAAAAGACATAAATTATCGTAAACACACTGAGAATGTGCTGGTGTTTTTGTGAACCATAGGAATGCATCTACTAGTCTGGGATTACTCAGTCCTTTGAGGGACACGGGTAATATTTTTATTTATAGTTATCACAGAATCTATCCCAAAATGATTAATCGTTGCCTAAGGTTTATTTAAAAATTGGAAAATATGAGTCACTGGAGAAAAGTATAACGAGCATAAAATATAACAAACCAACAACATAAATGAATTTTTGTCACATTTGATATTATAGAATGGCATTAGAAATACAATGTGTTTTTTACTTTATGTATTTTCATAGCTGAGTGAAGATAATAACTTCTTCATCATGCATTGCGAAGGAGATTCAGTGCAGTTCCAATGCTACGAAGATAGAAGGTACTATCTGTGTGTGAACGATGATTCACTTGACATTCGCAAGCTGGAAAACAAAGAGCCCAATGAGGACAAAAATTTCTACTTCAGGGTGTCACTCTTACAAGAGAAGTAACTTGTCTACTTTTCAGTAGCCTAAGTGCCCATACAGCTCCTACGAAGATGACGAAGTTTGAGATCAACTAATTTATGTTTGAGCAGAATTTTTACATTTTCATAATTTCTAAGTCACCAACATCCTTCATTTCTGTACATTCAATAGCAAAAGAGGAAGGTCATGTTTGAAAAACATACTAGCTGATCAGTCTCTGTGTCTTACCTACCAATTATGTTTTTAAGGAAACAAAATATTCTAGTGTGGGAAAATTTACAGGGGATATTTCAAAGGTGGCAACAATAAGGACCATATATGAATATGATCATAAAATGTGCTATTAGCTCTACATGTGGTAAACATTTTACTTTTTAAAAACTGTTTCTTATAAGCTCACCTGAATATGACAAGGAAACTTTCAGAAGTTGTTAAATGCATGTGTGTATATCCTGACTGACTTGGAGAGAGAATCAGAAAAGGTGTATTGACTCTATCTGAGAATAAGGGAAGATGCTGGAAGCTAGAAGATGTCTCTGCAGCTGTAGCTCCAAGCCAGCCCATATAGTCCATTATGCAATTTCAAAATCTCTGCAGCATGGCAGCTCTCCAAGAAAATGTACACAGAGCCTCAGATGCACAATGTGCAGGCAGAGGGAGGAAGGCACGTTGAACTGATGTGCCATAACAAATGCCTGCAAACACAGCAGAAAATTGCTCTGACATGTTGGCTTCCACTTCTGAGTCATAGAGGGAAATACAATCACATGTTCAATTGCAAAGCAGAGTGCAGAACAACATCAGAAAAACAATAATGTTCAAAATTACTCAATGGAACAAACACTAAGTGCTTATGTGGGATACACTGGAGGAGACATACGAGTACTTACCTTTCAGCAACAGGGTCTGTCAGTGTCAAATGGAAGATGTTGACACTTGAATGTCCATAGACCATGCCCTGCATGAAATTCATGAGAAAACAACCTGAAAGTTATTAGGATCACTAAGTGTTAAAGATCTGGTATATTGCTGTACATGGAATTCCACCCTGATTTAGTGGCAATTTTCTGCGATGCAAGTAACTTTGAGACTGTATGTGTATAAATGATAGACATGATGCACCTACGCCAAGAGGCTGCTGCTTAGTTGCAACAAAACAGCCTACAAGATAACACACTTGCAAGAATAGTCCTGTGCAAATATAATAACCAATGCACTCCTGAAATAAGAATCCTAACATCAGTCAGTCAATCACACCAATGCACATTGCAATAATGCAATTTTTTGTTGTATACTAAACTCCAAAGGTCTGTGAGACTTTAAAAGACTTCACAACTCGTTTTCTTCAAATAACGAAAATCTTTATGTTGGTTTTAATGCTCATTGAAGAGAACTTTTAAGTATTTTCTAAATAATACCTACAACCTCTGAACCTGCCAAGAGTTCAATAAACTGCCAGGAGTTAACATGAAGAAAAAAACCCCAAAACTCTAGATATTAATTTCAGATCTTATTACACAAGAATCAAGTCAAGTTAAACTAAAGATGTTGCATGAGAAATAGATTCATATGAAGTACATTAATTTCACTATCTGAAACACTAACACTTCGTAGTCATACATTTATTATTGGTAGTGTAATCACCTCACTAAATTACAGAATGTGCTAGATGGCAAGCTGATGAAAAGACAAGTCAAAACAAAGCTTGTACAAAACATATTAATGAAATCAGCATTGCTCATATCATCACAAAAGTATCATTAACCTCTGTTAAATTTGAATCTCTTGTATAGTTAAAATTTGAATTACGGTTATATGCAGAATTTTATACTTTTACCATGTGCCATCTTAATTTTTTTAACTATTCAAGGGAAAATAAGCCCTTATGGAATGCAGCAGTAGGAATTTTGTAAAATTTAGGATTTGATATCTAAAGTAGTAATATCATTTGACTTCTTTTCTCATAAAACACAGTAAAATCAGACAACTACATAACTCTTAATGTGCATAGTAAATCAAGTTAAAAATTCTCTAACCTAATCTTTGCTGGAGTCTTATTTTGATCATAAAATCCCTTCAAACTGACATTTTCCAGTTCCCACTAACCTAGGTGTCTTGTGAGTGGCAGATAAGTTTTTAATATGTGAGGTGGGAATCATATAGAAATTTTATTTTAAAACATAAAATGAAAGCCATTTCAGAATGGCTTTCATTTTTAGTCTTTCAGAAAAATATAGTTTCAAGCATTTTACAATATAATCCAATGTGTCTAACATTTGAATATGAAATATAATTAGTATTTTGCTGTTTAAAACAACAATTATATTCTTTAACTTTCATTTAACAGATGTGATAATTATTAAAATAATAATATAGATATGTTGCTCTTGTATTTCTACCCTTCTAAAGCTATGCCTTAAATAAAGTACTGCATTTTGTTTGCTTAGACCAATGTAATGCAAGTATTCTTCATATATTACTTGTGGTATTTTGACCATATTTATGACTTCCTACAATAAAACCTGTGAGAAGAACTACAATAACTGTAAAGCAAGTGACCTTTCTCTGTGTTACATACGCTGCCTTCAGGGAAACACAAGAGCTAGAAATTGGAATTAGGAATTGTAATTTTTCTTCCCTCTATTTGACATTTGCAGTAAACACTGAAGAGCTCCTTGCCATCACTTCTGATTTAACAGCTCTCACATTTACTATGAAACTTCGGTAAATCACTGGCTTAGACCAAAAAAACCACATTGCTACATCTCTATTACAAGTGCAGCACATCTATCCACCCATGACACAGTACTGTGTTCAGTCTAACACATATTGGAGAAAGGCTGAGCAGAGGCAAGAGAAAGAAAGGAGGATGGAGCACCTGAGGAGGAAGAGCTAGGACAGCAGTTTTTGTTTACCTGGAGATTAGAAGGAAACTCTTCACCTACCTGCAGGGGGATTGCAGAGAAGATGGAACAAACTTTCCTTAGAGGTCCATATCTGAAGAAGAGTAGGCAGAAGTAACAAGTTATGAATTTTCACTACCTGTAAAGAAAAAGAACAACACAGATCATACAGGAATTGGAGCAGGTTTTGTGATTACAAAGTATTAATCTTCTAAATTTTTCTAGATTCAGTAGAACAGGGCTCTGTGCAACCTCACCTAATGCTGAAGGTAAGCCTCTTTGAATAGGTGGTTTGACAAAATGACCTCCAGCAGCTCTTTCCAACATAAAATATCTTGTCATCCTATGATTCAAAGGAAGTTTCTGTGTCTTGGAACTCACAGAGCATTTAATCCAAAGAGCGAAAGAATTCAATAGAGCCTACACAAACACACAGATGAACAATATAAAAGAAAAAATAAATCCTGTTTATTTCATCTTAAGCCACAACATTTTCAGGATTACATACAGGCTTGAGGCCAAGAGAAAATACATCCAGAGTCAGAAAACTTGTCACCACAAGTGAAAGATTGCCTCTTGATCTCCAGAAATGTCAAATCAAAACACATAGGCCATTTCAAAGCAGAAAATTGTATAAGGAGAACAAGGGATCATTTGGAAGATAAAAAGTAATTGCAATATGATTAACAGGAATATTTAAAAGTTAGTGTGATTTTACCTGATTGTTTCTGACATAGGTCTTGCAATAATTATCTTCCCAATATTTGAAGGATCTCAGTAAGAGCATTTCACTAGAGTGAACTCAAGTCTGCTGTGTAAGGATCTACTCCATTCTCCACCCTAACAGTGAAAATAATGAATAAACTACAATTTTGTTAACGAAATCAGAATATACCTTGGGTATTGTAACATAAAGGTCACATAGACCTAGCTGCAAGTGTTGCCTAAATTTCACAAACTGAAAAAATTACTATCAGAAAAGTATTCCTGCAATTAATGTATTTTTCTCTCATATACATTGAAGCTGGGGCCAAATATACGCATGAACTTTTCTTAAACATTAAGATTACCTTTTTGGGCACTATAACAGCAAACCTGACATTTTCACTGCTTTCTCATAAAAATATTTAAAAAGAGAAAGCCACAAGATTTTCAGTGTTCTGATGAAGATGTTTGTGTCAAGCCTGGTGTCAAAGCAAGTAATAGAAACAATTAGCAGACATTAATAGAAGAAATAAAATTGTTGGTTAATACATCTCTCCTGCTAGTTTATTGACAAAGGGATTCTCATGTGTTTTACAGGGACTAAATACAAGAAATTCACAAATAATGGGGCAAGAAAAAGGAAAAAAACATTAAAGAATTTTTTCCTGATATGTTATTGAAACCTTCCAGTTTTTAATTTTAAGCTATTGCCAATTGTCTTGTCAATATAAGTTCTTACCAAAAAAAAAAAAGAAAAAAAATCTCTCCAGGTTTATTGTAGGCTCCCTTCAGGTACTAGAAGGCTGCAATTAGGTCTCCCTGATGGTGCATCTTTTCCTGGCTGAACAAACTCAATTCTCTCAGCTTCCTCATAGGTGAGGTGCTCCACCCCCCTATTAGCTTGGTGGCCTCCTCTGGACTCACTCCAGCAGTTCCATGACCTTCCTGTGCTGGTACCCCAGAGCTGATGCAGCCCTGCAGGTGAGGTCTCAGCAGAGCAGAGCAGAAGGGCAGAATCCCCTCCCTGGCCCTGCTCTGGATGCAGCCCAGGACATGTTTGGTTTTCTGGGGTGCCAGTGCACCATTCTGGATCATGTCTAGCCTCTCATCTGCCAGGACACCTGTTGCGGTGTAATGTCATGGCTTGCCTCAGTTTCCCCTGGTTTCTTCCTGAACTTTCTTTCCCCAGGTGGGCTGTCAATCACCTCTCCTTTTCCCCACTTTTGACCCCTGCTTGGCACTGTCTATCAACCAGAAATTCCAAGGGGAGCGTCAAGAGATTGGCAGGTCAAAAGGATGCTCTCCACCCCCTGGGGGGCCATTGGCCCACCCAGGTGTCCCTCTTACCCGAGACCCCCTCCCCTCACACCTGGTTGGTGCTCCCTGGGTCCCCTCCCCTGCCCCTCTCCCCAGGTAAAAGGACAAGCAGAGCACGCAGTCGGCGTTCTGGTGGAGAGATCGGTTGGAGAGGTTGTTGGAGTTGTTGCAGGATTCAGAAATAAAAACTCTGAATTAAAAACTCTCCATCAGGACCCACTCCTTTCTTCACCTCACCTTAAAGGTTTCTCCAGCTCAGGAAGGCCTGAGGAGTGACCCCACATCTACAGCAAGCTCCAGCCCGTAAGCACTGGAGCTCAGGGTATGCCGGACTTGTCCCCACAGCTCAGCCATGACCACAGGTACTGAATAGCGTCCCTGGGGAGAAAACTCCACAGGTGTGGCTATTTAGTTCAGCAGCTGGGACCAGACAGACCAAGGCAGTCCCGTTCAGTAATATTGGTAAACTCCAATAGACACCCAAATCCTTTTCAGCAGGCTGCTCTGATCTGTTCATCCCAGCCCGTGCTCATACCAGGGGTTGCACCAATCCAGGTGCAGCACTTTGCACTTGGTTTTGTGTCATAATTTGATCCCAGCCAGCAGTCAAACTCTCACAGCCTCTCACTCACTCTCCCACCAGTGGGGCTGGGGAGAGAGTCTTAAGGGTAAAAGCTGAAGAGCTCAGGGATTGAGATAAAAACTGTTTAAAAGGGAAAGCAGAAGCTTTCCCTTTTAGGAAAGGGACACAAGAAAAATAAAACATGGAATTAAGTCAGTGCTTCCCATGGGCAGGCAGGTGTTCAGGCAGCTTCAGGAGAGCAGGGCCCCATCACACATAACAGTGGCTTGGGCAGAAAAACACCATTGCTCCAAATGCCACTCCCCCCCACCCCCTTTGCCTTCTTCCTATCACCTTATACACTGAGCATGATGAGCATGATGCCACATGGTCTGGATTATCCCTTTGGTCAGTTTGGGTCACCTGTCCTTGCTGCATCTTGTCCTGATGTCCTGAGCACCCCCATTCCCCTCCCCAGTGTGGCTGTACCAAAAGCAGAAAAGGCCTTGGCTCTGTGCAAGCCCTGCCCAGCAATAACAAAAACATCTCTGTATTATCAACTCTGTGTTCAGCACAAATCCAAAACACAGCCCCATAGTAGCCACTGTGGAGGTTTACTCTGCTGCAGCCAAAACCAGTACTCTTTACTAAACTTTATAAGACTCCTAAGGATCTACTTCTCAAGCTTTTCCAGGGCCTTCTGGATAACATCCCACGTTTCAGGTGCACCAACCATATCACTCATCTTGGTGTCATCTGCAAATTTGCTGAGGGTGCATTCAATCCATTTGTCTGTGTCATAATGAAAATATAACATAACACTGGTGCCCATATGGACCTCTGAGGCACACCACTTGTCACTAATGTGCAATGACCACAACCCTCTGGATGCCACCATCCAACCAATTTCTTATCCACCTAATAATCCATTTAACAAATCCATCCTCTTCTATTCTAGAAAGAGGATGCTGTGGGGGCCTCTATCAAAGGCTTTACAAATGTCCAGATATATGACATCTGTGACATCTGTCGCCCTTTCCATTCCCACTGATGCAGTCACCCCACCACAGAAGGTCACGGGGTTGGTCCAGCAGTACTGTCCTTGGTGTAGCTGTTCTGGCTGTCCCAAATCAACTCCCCATCCTATGTGTGCCTTAACATGGTTTCTGGGAGGGTCTACTCCATGATCTTCCCAGACATGGAGGTGAGGCTGACAGGTTGGTTTTCCAGAGTCCTCTTTTATACTCTTTTTGAAGATGGGTACAATGTTTTCCTCTTTCATGTTACTCAGGATTTCACCTGACTTCCAAGACATTTTCAAATATCATGGAGAACAGCTTGGCAAATGCATCAGCCATTCCCTCAGGACTCTGGTTAGCATCTCACTGGGCCCCACAGACCTCTGTACACTCATGTTCTTTAAGTGGACATTAATCTAATCTTTACTTACAGTGGGAAGGACTTTGTTCCCCGCAGTCCCCGGCTGCTCTTGAGAGACAGCTCTTCACACTCAGTCCACCTCCTGATGTAGAGGGCAGCCCCTCTGCCTCTCTCTTTCCTCACCTGTCTCTTCTAGAGAGCCTGTAGCCATCAATAGTCACATTGCAGCCATAGGATTTGTACCACCAAGTTTCAGTAATGGCACTTGTCACATGAAAAGAGAGATAATCTCAAACCCTTAATGTTTGACTAGTCTGTCCATGCCCCAGAAAATCCAAGACCCTTGTGCCTGACCAGTCTGTCAATGTCTCATTATGGGCACCCTTCACTGAGCCATTCACCGGATTGCAGGGAGGTTTAGCTGACTTCTTTAGGGTCACATGCCAAACAGAGACACCCCATCTGGGTCTTCTTACCTTTACCCGCTGAAAGTGACTGCCAGTGCCCTTGAAGGACTTTCTCAGGTTTCTGAGGTTGAGATGACCCTGAGGTGTTAGAAAGTCTCTTTATTCCCAGCCCCATGACCAAATAAGAAGTCGAGATTTGTTGATTCTTCTTTTCAAGGTTGTTTATTTTTCCTTATCTATTACATTCTTTCTCTGACCTGTGGAGGTCTGTCCAGCAGGTTGGTCCATGGCACACTGTGCCAGGATCTCGAGTCCTCCAGGGCAGCCAGAGGAAAGTCCTGTGTCCCGACAGGACTCATTTGCAGAATAACTATTTATTTATATAATTGTGACAGGTTAAGGTTCAAGGGTTGCTGGTGATAGTATCTGACTGCGAAAACATATTCAAAGCAATATAGTAATTCAAAACAGTATACTAACAAACTTTAATCCCTAATAAAAGCTAACGTGAGATGATGATTCAGCATGCTTTAGATACAGCTCTTACCCAACTGGAATCCCTGAGGGGGAGACGATAGGTTCAGCCTATTGACTGATATCAGAAGTTGTAATGGAATCTTCCCTAACTTCCCATTCTTGACTCACTTTTATGCTACTTCTTCAATTTCACATGAAGAGTAACTTTAATCATCTGTCTTACTCAGTGACAGGTGGTCTTACCTTTGGGGTGGATATCTCAGTATAGTACCTGAAGCAATTTTGGGATGGGACTTGTGTCAGTCCTAGTAGAGTGATTTCACCACAGTTGCTGACTCAATAGCAGCCTATCTCACTTTTCCTCATCCACCACTATTCCTGATTGTCTTTGGGGGGTTCCCAGTCCTAATGGGGCTCTGGGATGCTCTTGGGTGTCTGTATGCTTGGCAGCCCCCTTGCAGAGCCCAATCTGTCCCCCACACCTGGACCGACCTTGTGTACCACTGATGCTGCTCACCAACTAACTAGAGAAACAGAACAGATGAGACCCAAAAGAAGAAGTATAG